TAAAACCCAGAAATGGACTTCAACGCGCATCAGACCCCGAAACATATCAAAGGGAGGCAGTCAGTTGTGCGTTCTCCCGACGTTCGGCTCGCAAACTACCACAGCTGTATGGAATTTCTGACCCACTGTTGCAATTCTGCAGGAAGCCTTCAATTTCATCCCTACAAACTGGCTGTTGTGCAGAAATTAACTGACGCGATTTTGTTCCCCGTCCAAAAATGCAATGTGAAATGCTGAATTACAACCCCTGCCCTGAAGACGCGCTCGTTTTTTCTCAGTGACGAGGCCACTTCACATTTTCCGGCTGCTTTCCAAAAAAAGCAAACATGCGTTATTGGTGTGTGTAAATCCCGTGACTTTCACCAGAAGCACTAAATTGTAAGCGAGTTACTGTTCTGGTGTGGCGATGTCGGTATGGACATAATTGGTTCCTTATTTTTTGAAGAAAACGAACGCGCATTTACTGTGATAGAGCTCGTTTACAGGACATGGACGACGAATGTTTCTTCAAGACTCGAAAGAATAACGTTGGAACAGTGTGTGTTCAGCAAGATGGAGCCACACACACACAGCACGAGACACAATGAATTTGTTGCGACAACATTTCCCACCTCCCATCTCTCTCAGAGGCATTCAATGGCCGGCACGTCTCCAGATTTGACTCCATGCGATGTCTCTTTCTATGGGGTAATTTGAAATCCTGTTTATGTCGATCGACCACGGACATGCCACCTCAAGAACAACATTTCGCGACGCCATTTGCCAACATACTGATTGATATGCTCAAAGATGGATCGATTTCCAAAAATCAAACTTCATCAGTGTTACTGCGCATGGAGGCGCATTTATCCGATTATTTTCAACTGCATGAAAAAAAATTGGGATATTGTATTCTCAAATTAAAAAATTTAACAACACAGTAACTGAAGTACTTTTGTTTTTATTGACCTTGTCAAATAAGTAAGTTTCTCTGGCCCACCCTGTACATATTCTTTACATGTAAAGAGAAAATTTTTGTTAATGCTGCGTGCCAAAAAGGATATTTTTCAATGAAAAAACTCATATTCCCTAATAATATAAAAAAAGGAATTTTTCTTGCTTCCATATTTAGTATATTATATTCTTTAATACGTTGTGTACTCAGAATTCATGCTTTGAAGATTCTTGATACCGAAAACGGAGCTTTCGGTGAAGCGACTGTCTCTGTGAGAAACGCTAGAGCTTAAACCGTTCAACAGGAGCATCAAATTTGATATCTCCAATCAATCGTCTGTTTCGACGTTGTCAATCAGCGTGGCTTCTGGAATTTTAATGGATATTGTTAGTTTTGACGTTAGTTTAGTTATGAAGCCATATCAACATTTTCGATTTTTTCGAAAAGGCTTGGAGGCTTCGATTTTTTTCTTTAATTTTTTCTCTCGAATATATGAAAATATGCCTATAACGTAGGAGCCATGTCTTATTTTCGTTGAGAACTTTCTCATGTATCATTTACATCAAAACTCTAGTTTGAGATATAACTGAATACGTTAAAACGTCCACAGAACTGAAATATTGAGTTCACGTCCCCGGGAAATATTGGTGCCTTGGCGAAAACACTTTTGCACGTTCAAGTAGAAATATGATATTATGTAACAGTTACAAAAGTGTAAGCGCTGTTGTTAAGGTGTCGTCTGCGTCTTTCAGCACCGGAGATCCTGCAAAGAGACGCTGACTGCGTGCACCTGGAACGGCGTGCCCTTCCCCTGCTGCGAGCACTTTCTGCCCGTGGAAACCGAGATCGGCTTGTGCTACGCCTTCAACAGCATCCACACTGAGTACGTTGCAGCTCATTAAATATTATTGGCGTTATTGAAGTCGTTATGTTGTTCGGGTCCTTATTCGAGGGTTTATTTTTGCGATGCACGAGAAGATCCGTAACCCGATAAGTTTATCTTGCGATTTGCAGTTGGCTTTGGATAGAGTAAACTCGAATATAACCAAGCAACTCCCTCTAGAGGGGCGCGTGGGCCAATCTCTGAACCCGACCACATACATTACAACTCAACTTTAGTTGACTCGGCTCTCCGCATCAGCGTTAGTGAATGTAGGGCAGTGGAGGCTCGTGCTTAGATTGCATCGGCGCATAACCCCCTGAACCGGAACATTCTCATGTGTTTGGAATATAGATTTTCCATTTAATGACATTCAATATTTAAGATATTGCAGCTATACCAATGTGTATGAAAGCATTTTCAAATCAAAGAGCGCCCGTCGATCTGGCTCTCCGGCGTGTCTTGCGCTCCCAAGCAGGGCACCATGTCACGCTCTAAAGCCCTTCTACTGCGCTTACTCTTTGGTGGCTCATCGCTATGCTTCCACATAAAGCCTCCGTTGTTTTCGTACCACGAGGCGAAACAAACCATCGGCTTACAATACAGGGGGCTGGCCGAACAGTGCGACGCGCCGAAAGGATGACTAATTTTCTGTCTTCGCCTGAAACTATCTGCAACTTAATTTTATGAATTTTGCGTATTATTGAAAGTACAATTCAGTCAATCTTGATTATGTTGAATGAATTATTTATGTTTTCATCAATTTATTTTCATTTGATGTTAGATTTGTTGATTCAACAGTTAAATTTGATTATGAATTTGTTGTGTAAAGTTGACCGTTCTGGAGAAAAATCTATCTGTCTGTCCTTCTTTTGCATACTGTGTGGAACGAGCTTTCAAGTAGCACCGGTCGTTAGTCAGCGAGCAACGTTGTGGCGATACGTGTGTGTGGAAGATCTCCCGTTATTGAAATATATATCAGGTAGTGAGATTTTCGATTGATTGATTACTGATTCCGGGTGCGTCAACTGCTAAGTTCATCAGTTTCGTGAGTTTAGTGATTATTATGGAGGTGGCGTTGGTCTTCCCTCGCTGGATGGGAAGATCCGATGCCGACTTACAACAGCTAGCGGGGGATTTCTCCAACCAGGTATCTCCCATCAGCGGGGCATCGCTCCAGCCGGGACAAACTCTGTTAGACCAGTCTGGAGCTTAGAGTGTGGGTACTGTAAGCGTGTGTGTGTGTGTGTGTGTGCGTAAGGTATAAGGATAGGACAAGGAAAAGGAAGGAAAGATCGCGCGCGGTTCCTCACCCGTTTGTTAAGGTTATGCTCCGGCATTCGATGTTCATCGGATAAACCACGGAAAAGTATCAATCGAAGTAGAGATCGCTAGTATTTCCTCCAGAGAGCCGCTGAAATTCGACCTAGCTACGCAGCTGCTGTCGAAACGCCTGCCACCGTCGGGACTCGAACGCTAGAACCTCCCGGTCAGAGACACTGCAGTGACATGAATTAATGCCCTGAGATGCCTAAGCCCGTGAAAGAGTTTCGAAACCAAATAATATTATTTCTTTATCACCACTAGTATCAGCAATAATGAAATGATAAAATGGAGCGTGTATGAGAAAACAGGTTAAATCCAGTTTTTAAAAAATGTTATTGATGGTGCTGTTGTGTTTATGGCCTCTGCTATCGAGATACTATACTATTAGTTTTATGCAAAAACTATTTTCCCCTGATAAACTGTACGATAAATATCTGTAAATTATCCCAAACGTTTTATTACCTTTGCATCTAGCGATACACCCGTTTAGATCCAAATTTTGTTGTGAACTGAACTTTCCGTAGACTTATGCTTATAGAATTACTGCTAAAATATTTTTCAAAATTCGGTGTATCCAGTAATTTAATTTTAATTTTGAATATTTGAAGTTAATATAACCGCCACACCATTATTGTTTGGTAGATCAGATTTAAAACAGCCATGAGTCTGCCATTACCCCGACGTACGGGTTGCACATCCCCTTAAATAACCGAAAAATATCTTCTAAAAATTTCCAACTAGCACTCTCTCCGGCTCTCCCAGGTATTGCACCAAATACAAATGCGATTCATCCAGTACTTCAAGGAAGGTTTGGTGAAAAGCTTCCAATGGCTGAATTTGGTATTCAAAAATTGGAAGTTCACTTCCATGTGATCGAGGCAAATTTGCGTGAAATTATTTTTGCTTTTCTTTATAATGTGCTGCAACAATGTAGCTACTGCACCTGCAAGTGTTTCACTGCGTATGTATGCCGCAACTTGAAATCACGCACGTCTCCATCCCCACCCCTTTTTGAAGCAGCTTGGCAAACTGCAAATAGCAGCAATACAGGGTGAGCCAGGTGAGTTGGATTGCCTGAGATGTGATTATTACATACTTCCCGCAATTTTATAATTACTGCTCGCGTGGGGCCGTTGATAGCAAAACCGAGGGGGTATGTTACAATTTGTCCCCACAAGCGTGGGGAGCGTTAAGCCCCAAAGCGCGGGTATGTAACAATATAGATAGTACATAAAACTATAAAAAAATAAAAGGGAGGTACACCACAGTAGAAATTAGACGTTGAGAGCGGCGGACAATTAGAGCGATTACTAGTATTTGTCCCGTTTCGACGTCAATCAAAGGGTCGACGTAGTGTCTTTTATCTCTTCTTTGCGTTACAGGAGGTCCGTGAGCGTGCTTAACACTGCGTCCAACCGCGCCACCGGTCCGGCCACTCTGTACTTCGAAGTTCTCGCCCAGAGCATGGTGAGTGTTTTATTGCACCGGATGGGTATGATTTCTGCAATGTCGCAGAAATGTGACTGGGATTTGATCCGATAAATTGTAATTACTTAAGACAACTACTTCATATAATGGACAAAAAAATAAGCAGAGAATACACCTGCTGCACCGACTCTCACTGCGAAACAAAAGCACAGCACAGCTGCGATGGGTCAAGATCAAGCCTTGCGGGATCTAGTGTTCAATTGGTAAAGAATTGGAATGATAAGTAAATTAGTGCAGTACTTATACTCTTTGAGATCGATGATTAAGGTATGATATTATCCAATTTAGGGCAACACCTTTTTTTGTTGACGAGAGTAGTTAGACATCTGACAGAGAGTAAATGACTGAAACAGTTGGCATTACTGGTTCCCCCATTTAACCATCAACTAGCAAAATCGGCTTTTTTTATCAGTTTGTCTCTAACTGTTCACTGGGTAGCTTCAACAACATGAAGGTTGTGGATGATCTTGGCTGTCCGGGTGACGCCGCGTCGAAGGCTGTGTTGTCAATATTTCGACCATCTTGTGGTCTTCCTCAGGGCTGGTATGCGCCGGGATTCTTTTATCCCCTCTCAATTTCCCATGGAGAGGCAGGAATTTATTTAAGTTGGGGATACATATATTCCTGCAGCCGATGAGGTTTTTGCAGATTGCTAGGGCGGTATCTTAAATAAACTTATAATAACTTAAAACTAATTATATTTTCGCTTTGGAAATTGCAAAGTTTTGTTAACTCTTTATAATGTTTAATTTAATTAATCATATTGTTCTTAATTCTTCCTTTTCTTTTTTGTTCATTTTCACAAGCATTCATTCTTAAGCTATATTTATAATCGGAGCCGAGTTCTTATTAGGAACTACTTGGCGTGAGGGTCCCTCGGTTCCTATTGCACGCGCGTCTGACGGACGCGGTGGCAACGTGCAATGGCTGCATCCTGTGAAGGATGCAGCGTGATGCTGCTTACAATTGCAGCAGACGGGCTTTAAATTAAAATTTCCGCGTTTTGGGCAATGCGCCGTTCGGCGTTTGTCGTCTTCTGCAGGGTGACCCTCGCCCGTGCAGAGGCGACAGCGCACATCGTACTCGCAATTGCGAACGATGTGGACCCATCGGCAGCATCGCATGCAAAATCGAGCTCTGGCCCACTTTTTCCTTTGGCCCTCGATTGCGAATGATTCTAGTTGCTTTAAGAGATAGATTTTACGCGACTCGGCGCTGTCATTGAGGGTGACGGCGAACGTTCCTGTGGGCACTTCCACCCACCGCGTTTCGGTGCCTGTTGCACCATTGGCTACATCGGAATCGTGGTTTCTGGTGACCACGATTTCCTTCAGCGGGCAGATTTGGCTGGCTGGCTGGCCTTCGCAATGTAGCCCGTTCAGGGCCCAAGTTCTCTGCCGTGCTTTACGACCTTGTCTGAGGTGATGCTCAGACGTATTTTGTACGGTCGTTTTGGTGGACGTGAGGCGTCCACCTGGAGGGCATCCGCGGACGGAACCTGCGCGGAGGTTCCCGTCTCATTATTTCCGGCTGCGGGCCGACTGCGCTGGCTACTGTAGACGAGTTGCCAACCCTCAGATTGCTCGAGGCCCAGAATCTGTTGGCGCACTCACCGCACCGACGGAGCTTTCTTGTTCTTGTGGAGGAGTTGGCAGTTTAGCGGGCGTGTCAGAGGCCTGATTGGCCCAGCCGTAGTCCTTCCCGCGCGTTTGCGCTTTCTCGCCGTGCTGGAGGCGCTGTTGAGGCTTTGCAGCTCGTGCATGCTGCGCTTGCTTCAGCTCCGAGGAGCCTTCGCGCTGGAAAGGGCGCTTTGCCGGTGGGGAGACGGCGACGGGCGACGTGCCCGCCGCGTTTCCCGGATCGGGGGGCGGCGCTGATCCGGAGCTTGCGAGCTGTGGCGTTTGCTCTACGGCTGCCAGCGCCGCAATGCTGCCCTCTTCCTCAGCCTGCGGAGAGCTGGAGTGGTGCTGGGCTGTGGGGAACGCACCGGTCAAACCTGGCGAAGCATCGTTGACCAATCCGGGCGGCTCGCTGGGCGGAGTGGGGAACGGGTTGATTTCTCCTCCACTAGGGACTCTAGCAGCCGCTCCTTTTGTAGCGCCACCAGGGGCGCCCTTGGGCTCAGTGCTGCTGTCTGAGCAGACCGGATCGGTGGCCCCGTCGCTACGGCGTCACCTCCCGGAGAGAGAAATAGAAGAGGTATCGGGTAGTGAGAGGCGCTGCTCGAAAGAGTACACGCGCTCGCGCACCGAGTACTGCCTCACAGGTGTGCCGATCAGGAAAGAGGCGCCCCACGGGCGGTGGTGGCGCCTAGAATACCACGTTCATCCCAGCGAAGAGCTCGCTACCGGGCGCCAGTTGCGGGATTGCTCCGACACCGGCTTCCCGGATCGTTCCCCAGAACGCCAGGAGGCCTTCTATATTGAGGGCGGCGAAGGAACACATCACGCCTCCCGGGATCCTGGCAAGCATCCCGGAGACGTCTGCGGCAGTTGTGGCACGTGGGCTTCGGCAGCAGCGGCTGTAGATTCCGCGACTATTGCGAACCCTGCGTCGCCGTTAATATTATGGAGGCGTCTCCATCGCTTCCTTCCCGCGTCTGGGCCACCATTGCTTTTCTCTGGCGCCCTCAAATACGAAACCATACCCGGTTTCCCAAGCATGCTGGGTGACAGCGGAGCGTTCGACATTCCCCTGTTTGAAGTGGTGGATGTGCTCGCGCAATCTTTCCTCCACCGTTCTGCCAATGTAGTTGCTCCCGCAGCTGCAAGGTAGCGCGTAGCCGGTCCTTAGCCCGCACCAGAGTTTGGCCGCGACGTCCGTAGTGGATTTAATTGGAACGGACCGTTCGTCTCATCCAGTTCGAGCTGAAGTCGCGTCCAGAACGTCATTGTGCCAGAAATCAGACAGTGACTAAAGAAGGAAACAGCGCCATGCCACGGTTGTACGGCTCCCTAAGATCCACAAGCCCGATAAACCCCTACGACCAATTGTGAGCGCCGTGAACTCCCCAAAGCATCCGCTGGCCCGCCACGTGGCCAGCATTCTACACCATCTGATAGAGGATATTGCGTCAGCTGTCAGGAACTCCAGCCACTTCATAGACTTGCTGCAAGGGAGGCCGCTGAGGAAACGGACACCCTTGTCAGATTTGACGTACATCACTCTTCACAATGGTCTCTGTTGATGAGGCAGTTTCGGTCATTCGACGCGGCGTCACCCAGACAGCCAAGATCATGCGCATGACTCTTGCCGCGGAAGCCTACGACTTCATTCAACATGAAGATTTTCAAATACACGAATGTAGTATGTGATTGTGATGGGTTTGTTTTTCGGAACAATGATTGGTGAGTTTATCTGTTTTATTTGTTTTTATTCAATTTAACTCATTGTTAAGCTGTTTCGATTTGTACTTTTTTACATTTTATATATTATTAATATTTGCATATTACAGTGAGTTTATCTGATGATGGAGCCACAAAGATCTTCGAAACTTTGTTAAACATATGGATGTATGTAAATGGGTATAATACAATAATTGTTCGTCTCAAACTGTTGAGGTACATATATAAATAAACAATTGAGAATTAAAACTTCCTTTCGTACATCCATAAAATCTCCCAACAATGAGAAGGAATTCTGGGAACTGTGTGCGGCTTTGTATTTTTCTTTATCTCCTGAGACTTGCAAATGAAGCACGGGAAATACTAATTTGGGAATACGAAATAATTTGCATAATTACAATAAATAGCTGATGATATATAAAAATAATTGTATGACCTTGTTTAAAGAACGAATTTTTTAGAACAAATTCGTTTAACTAAAATCCATATCATCAATATTTTACTTTTTCTATTTACTTTTTTGAGGTTGTTTATAATTTTCGAAATCACAGAGAATGTGCCGAAAACTCGATACATATACTCGCCGATTTCTTTTAACTTTTACGATTTTCAAAAAATCATGTTTTTTAATGAAAATCAGACCCGTGCCCTTTTTTAACGAGATCATTACACTAAACAAAATCAAAGTAAAATCCAAAGATCTGGAGCCATTTTTAGAAGATTGTCAAATGGTCCAGCTTCTTTCAATGTACTTTCCCAATGCAAAACATCCATTTCAAACGCAGAGGGTTGTATTATATTATAAATCGTCCGAGGAATATCAGTTTTGGAGAATGTCTGCTAAACGGTTTTGTCGCCAACGTTTACCACAGACAGATAGATTGGCAGATGGACAGAAAGGCAGTTTGCGATAAATCAAGTTTTCGGATTCAGGGACCTACAAAAATCGGATTCTAACTACACTCACCATACATGTCCTGCACTAACACACATAACAGGGGACCTGTCGGGAGCTTGTACTGGTCGGGAGGAAGCCCTCTGGAGGGGATTCCAAAAGAGGGAAAACTCCCGCAACGCAACGTGTGGGTCGTCGCCACATCTCAAGTTCCGGTGGGAGAGAAACACCGCCACCTCCCGGGTTATGCCATGCGTTATACTCAGGGAACCAACGACCATAGAAGTTGAAGTACCATAATCCATAAAAGAAGTTAGTTCCATTTATTCTGAGACACGTGTGTGGCGTGCGTGCAGATGTACGTGCTGCCGCGGCAAGAGGTGCCGACGCGCAACACCAACGAGCGCCACATGCAGTTGGTGACGCCGGGCTCCTTCTACCGCCTGCTCGTCAGCATCAAGGAGGTCGAGAACGACCCCGAGGTGGCACACACGTCGACGGCGCAGCGCGGCTGCCGCCTGCAGTCTCAGGGGCTGCCCGCCTACCCCAAGTACTCGTTCAGCGGCTGCCAGGTGCAGTGCCGCGCCGACGCCCAGCGCCACCTGTGCGGATGCGTCAGCCCGCTCACGCCGCGAGCCGGTCAGTGCGACACCGACCCTTCCACCACGTATGTAGAGCGATTTTTTTAAGAATGAGCCCAAGTGACGGTTCGCTAAACAAGTGAACGTCGCGTGTAATTCAGAGAAGTATTCCTCCGCCGCGACAGCTGCTCAGCCGCGCCTCTTCGTAAAGTGTTGGTTTACGGCTCCCGTGAAGACATCACTACGCAAATGTGTAAGAGTTTCGCTCAGGTATATGCACGTACGTGAGTCCAGAAAATATTTTAGATTATTATTACATTTATTAATAATTCGGCGATTAAGTGTGAGAACTTGGGGGCAGAATACACTAACTTAACATTACAGAACTTAACAACTTTACAAAATCTACAAACTTTTACATTCACGTGAAATTTCCCTGCAATCTTTCATAGAAACTCCACCACACTTCACTTCACCGCACTGCGATAACAGGAGCTGTAATGTTTTCTTACACACTCGTTTCTCTCAGTTTCACGTCACTGACTTCACGCCTCTGCACTGCACATAATATGATAATGATAATAATAATAATAATAATAATATAATGAATAAGATAGTATAATAATAATAATAATAATAATAATAATACTTAATTAGATAGAAGTACTAGTAATTACACTGAATTTTATTAATATTTTATGAACACATATCTACATCAGAAACTAATTTATTTTTAAATTTGCTCAGGCTTTGAGGAAAGGGATCGAAGATTGTCATAACCAAACCGTTCCAGTCCCTATAGTGCGATTCGCGAATGAATATTTCCCAACGTCCGTTTTCTGAATTGTCCGAATTTAGTGCATGTGATCCTCTCTGCCGAAATATGTAGGTTTCCCTAATCAACTTTGAATTTCTTTCCACACTCGGGCCTGTGTACGCTTTATACATTGAATAGAGACGTGACTTTAATCTCCTCCTTTCGAGTGACTCCAATACCCCTTTATTCTTGGTACCCCTGAAAGTAAATTTTGATGCTCTACGCTGGACCTTTTCTAGATTCCTTTTTTGCAAAATTCTGTATGGGTCCCAACATACCGCGCCATATTCTAATATAGGTACTAATGACATATTGGAATATAATTACACATGTGGGAATAGGTCTAAAAAGTGTCTCGTGGCGCACCATATTTTTGTCGCACAAGCACATCACAAAAGGAAGCATCGAAGCCATTTACAAGTTAGCCAACTCAAAACGAACGAATGGAAGAAGGATAGTCAAATGGGCTGAAGGACATAACGACCTCAAAACCTTCAGTTATGTTGCCAACACCAGTACTCGCCTGACCGCTGTTCACACAGAGCACAAGTTGGTTGACTTTGCTTTCTTTTAACACTATTCTGGTCGTGTTCTTTCCACATTTAAACACCTGTACGGGTATGCAACAGTACGACCTGGTATGTTCATATCTCTGACAGTTTTTGCATTGTACTATCTCGCGTTTCAGGCGTGGTGTTCGAAAGCAACAACACAATTTAACAGTCTGTTAATTTTGAACACTTCTTTGTTTGTTAGGTTTGGGCTCAAGGTCTACAAAAAATAGAGGCAGAGGTGATTTAGTTAGCCTGTGGCGGACATTTATAATGTTTCTAACTTTGTGATCCTTTTCCAAAGCGCACGCTCTATCTTTTACGTCTACCGTATAATGTAATGTGTCGCAAGACAACTCTATACGCACGTTCTTGTTTCAACTGGTATGTATAGTATACGTGACTGTTGCTGATAAATGTTTTATATTTCCCTGTAGGTATTTGGAGTTTTCGGCGTTATTTTAATTTGTCGTTTGCTAGAGATTTTATTTCGGAATCTTCTGTTCTTAAGGCTTCCTTTAAAAATTTGATCATAGCCTGAACATTATTCACATTTGGCACGAAAATTGAGTACAGTGGTTTTGGAAAGGTTTCTCATTGTTTTCTGTTGTGCCTTCTTTATCAGAGCCCTGAATTGATTCTTGGTGGAACTGTATATACACTAGTATTACTATCGCAAGACGCTGTCTTTTGCCTTACCCTTCTATTAGCATCAGGGTCGAGACGTCAGGGTTTCGGCCTTTTTGACCGAGCTGGTGTGTATATTTCCCATACATTCTGCGTCAGGTTGACGGGAGCAGCATGAATCATGATCCATGCCGTTGCTGCCTTGCCTGTTGCACTTCTTCGGATGACATTTCTTGAAGTAAACAGCTTCCCGGGTGTCAGTAGCATGCAATCGCACTACATGCTACTGATCCTACCCGAAAGTACTTCGTAATCGACGAGTTTTATATAAGGTTGTCTTTTGTTAGGTTGATTTGAATATGAAAAGAATGAAACACTGTTATACTTTACAAATATAACACTGTTCACTAGAGCTATGCGCACTGGTTATTATCGCTAGACTTTTCCTTATCTTGCGCCCTCGCGGGCGAGCAAGGTAAGACACTACGGAGCTGCGGGCACCGATCCGCACACC